TGGGGTTTCATAAATTCTCTGCCCAGGTATGTAGGCACCTAGACAGAAGTGTCAGGCAGTAGTTTTCAACTAGCAAAAAGACGCACTCGGATTACTTACTCCTCACTGTGAGGCATAAAGCCCGTGCACTAAGATGGGGAAGATAGGAGGAAAAGGAGAGACTGAAAGGTTGGACGGGGAGGGCAGGTATTTATATTGAGTTGGTGGGGGTTACGACTGCTGTTGCTTTCGCTATTGCCTTGGATGTATTGAACATTCCTCCTCAGGTAGCAATTGCACGTCACGTATAAAAGGGGAAGGGGCGAGTCCGGGCCTTCCAACGTGCTACAATACCTGCACGGCTAAGGAAGGGATGCCCGCTATCAACCTTCAAAGAGGGACTGTGCAACACACATGATAAGGCGTAAGGGAGACGCAAGCCACGAAGCCTGACACATCGTTCTACCCTAATCTCAAACTTTTAGAAACTTTTAGATAAACCTTGATGATTTATATTACGCGCTTTACTAGAATATATAGCAATCACTGCAGGAAATCCAAGAAAACTTCAGCTTATACAAAGACGCAAAGACTGAGTCAACCTCATATTCCGCTAGTAATAATCCGGCCAGTTTGTTTCGTATCCTGTCTATTATATGCACCTCTAATGTCGTTTACAAGTGCGAAAATGCCACCCTCGTATGCTGAACAACAGGCCGAAAAATAACAACTCGCTTTCCTTAGAACTCCATTCCATCCCCCCTTCAAATTCTCTCATCTATTTGAGCAGGAGTTCCCGAACTTTCCGCATGAGATGGATCATCCACCTTCGTTCGATACCGCATCCCTAACTCGATATCGTCTGCGCGGTGGCCCGTCATTCTCTCCGCTTCGTCTCCGGGTTTCTCCCAGTGCTTCTTATCCGTAGCGTAACTCCACGATCCCAGGCCTGCCCAGAACGCCTTGTCGTGACTACGAGGTCCCCATGCCCATCCGGCACCAGCGCGGACCGGCATGTGATAATACCGGAATGCAAACCACGCGCAAATCGTTCCTATGATAAAGCCGAAGAGGATGTCGAATCCGTGGTGCCGGAAGTCGAACCAGCGCGAACTAGCGACGAATATGGCTGTAAAGAAGGGGAGAACGGTTAGAAGGAGTAAGTATATAGGTGGAGCAGCCGCTTGTCTTCGGGTGGAGAGAACAGCCGAGTTATGGGCCCCGATCTGCTTAACCGTGGCTGGATCAGCAGGAGAGGCAGACCTAGCGATTTCCCGGTCGTTTCGCACGGCCTCGTAAGACGTGTCGATGTTACGCAGTCGCGACGGAAAAGCAGTAACTGCACTCGTGTCGGCCTTTGCTGCGTCATGCGGTACGAAAGGCAACGTGATGGCAAATTTGCTGGCCAGGAAAAACGAAAGGTAAATCAGACCCGCGGCCGCAGAGCTGGCGTGTCCCGAAGGATAACTACGAAACCCGTCGTCGAGTAGAGCATGGTCCGGGTTCTTGCAGATATCCGCACTAACAAGCTGACCATTATATGGGCCGTCAAACGAGCCGTCGTCGGCGGGCGTGTGGAACCCAACGATATACTTAGCGACGTGCTCGAGATCCGGTTGGCATCGGGATAGGAGATCCGGTCGCGGTTTTCCGAAGAGGTTCTTCATGCCCTGTGTGATGATCCAAGCCGATATGAGGGAGAGGGCCAGGCCCAGCCATCCGGTATGTAATTCCCATAATTTTCGCTGCCATATTAAGGATTTCGGAGTGCCCTTGGGAACGGTAGGGCCCGGAACGAAAATAAAGACGACGATTAGGACAACGACGACGGGGATAACGGCGTTGCAGGTTAATAGGAGTTTGGAGTTTACGGTCTCGTGAACGGTGAAAGGAAAGCTGTGGACGGTTAGCCAATTACACCCACTGGTGGAGTTTCTTAACAATTGCGAACGGGAGCAACACGTACGATATGTTAGGATCCTGTAAGCTGAAGGGTCTCTTGTTCGGAGTAACATTGCCCAGGATAACGCCAACGACGCCGACGACTATAAGTATTAACCAGTCGAATACATAAGACCCAACAACGACGAAGCTGAGCTTAGATTTACGGCTCTGAAAGCCTGAAGAAGTGCGATCGGGCATTTTGCTGTAAGGATGGGAAAGCAAAGGAGAGATAGATGGAACAGCGCTGTCGCCCTCGGGCATTATCAATAACAATAAGATTGAACGTATCCGCTTCCCCCTAAGGTCTTAGATGACTTCGACACAGGTACGCATGTGAGTTATGTGGGTGTACATCAGATGACGATGCTTGTACATACGTATATGTATGTATAATGTAGGTATGTATGGAGAAAGTGTGGAGAGAGATTTAAAAGTGCCTCCCGAATTTCTTGGTGTTTTGTTTCCCTGGTCACTGCCCTCGGGAAATTCCTTCAAACTACAAATTAATTATCCTTCCCAGAGAAGACCAGAATACCCCCAGATGCAAAGGACACAGCGTCTCGCTGCTAACGAACGCCAATGGAGAGATCGTCTTATGCCGTGCCTTTCGAGGTAAAGGAATAGGGAATTCGAGACGAGCCAAGACTGATGAGGTAACAGGTCGCGTGGGTCCAGGGTCTTGGCTTAGCACGGTTGAATTTGGATTTTTGGGTTTTTGGATTTTTGGGGAGGGCTTAAAGTATGGTACGGTTGGGATGGACGCTATGTAGGAACGAATTTGCCGCGCGGATGGGGGGATTCCCTTATATTGTTTCTCTTTGGGATCCGGTTTTATCGTATTAGATGCTAAACTAGGTCAGGCCGGCCGAACTGCCGCTGTCAAACAATAGCAATGTGGCAGTGTAGGTATGTACATAATAATGTAAGTGGCAGTACAAAAGTGGTGCGGTTGTGTAATAGTTAGTCCTGTTCAATAGAATTGTCCTCGCTAGGCGGGAAATATAGATGCACTTTTTTTTTTTTTCTTTCTGTGTGTTGCCTCGGGTCTTAGACACGTTTTACAAAATGGTTAAATAAATCAAGATCTACATAGAGAGGGGGAGAAGTCATGTGTAACGTGGCAAGGCGCCTTCGATCCAAGGTGAAATAGATGGGATTCGATTCGATTTACTAGGTAGTGTCTTGCATTAACAAGATGCGGTGGTGAAGTGAAGCGTTTAGCACAAATGACACGCTAAAATATTATGCTGCTATAAGTACCTAAGGTAGCTGGGTAGGTAGGCTATGCTGTGCTATAGTTCTATACTAACTATGACGAAAACCGACTCGTTATAAGAGCACGCTTAGGTATGTATATTCGCATGTTGTCATGACGTATATGTAAAGTAAATAATTTATACCAAATGACTTATTGAAAGGCATATTCAGCGGTTACATTATTGCATCATAGGTATCTGGGCGTGACACGAGATGCGGGAGGTTATTTTAACTTTACCGGCATTTAATAAGGTGAAAACTGCCCAGCTAAATTAAGACCATTAATAATGTAGGTACCAAGGTACCCATCTAGGTTAGGTAGGTATGTACATGTTTACATACGGGGCAAGACAGGTCGCATCTCACATTACGTGGCTTGCGTGGCTTAAACTTGCACCAGTGCTCCTATGTACTTACCTACCTACATAGTAGTTACCTAATAAATAACACAATAGCTCATAACTTGTGATGTCAACTTTTATACACGGATAGTCCACACTGCCACTCTTGGTGTCGCTTGGCCTCTGTAGTTCGTAAAGACGGAATCGTATATTCACCCCCATCTCTGTATTAAGTGTTGCCATGGCTTAGGGTTAAAGCCCCAATTGCGTACGTTGAAGTCGTTTAGATGTATTAGTAGAGGCTGATCTTTGTCGGTATTCGTTCATATCCCACTATACACAAGGCTATAGCTAGCAAGGCTTTGGCTGGGTTGTTCCTTCTTGAATCTTCTAACTAAAACTACCACTATGTGTATCCTGTGATACGATGATTATAACTACTGTATTCTCTAGCTGAATTGACTATAAAATTGCCTTCTCGCAGGTTATAATTGGGGTAGATAACGTCTCACCTCATCCTCTCCTGTTATGAATATGATCAATATTATCACGTTCCAAAAGTAGGAAGCAAACCACTTACTTATACATATATCTTAGTCATAACTCATTGACTAGGTAGTAATAGTGGCTTTCAAAGCTTTTTCCATATCAGCTATCATTTCCGCTCTGTTGCGTAGGTAGTACTACATAGTACATGAGGAGAAAAAAACAATGTGATCTCGTATTTGGTGGCTGCAATAACGGCTTGGCAGAGCCAGCAGATAACTGAGGTTACCACACGGGCCTCGACCATGCATGTAACCTGCACGTTGCTAGCTGTGATGTGCTGGTTTCGCAGGAAATATCGACAGAAACATGCAAGATAAACCACCCCTTTTGGTAGCTGTATTATTTCTCTGACTAAGATTTGGAACAGAGGCAAAACGTCCTAGTTTTTGACGACGCGTACGAACTGGGGATTGTGATATGGCCGTTGGTGTAATGCGGTAGTGCTCGGTTCGCTTGTAGGTAACATGTTGTTGATTCCAAGCTGATCAAGTAATCTCTTTGTACATCCCAGATTGGCTATGTATTACGCAATCCCAGGACCGATCTGGCGAACATGGGGAAGAGCCTCAGATTTATTGGCGATCTAGACTCCAAACATCCGCCATCGTATCATCGTTCGAGAAATTCTTGTTCATACAGCAGCAAACGTGGAGGGAATGCGGACTTACTGGCTTGTCCGAGCAACGTAATTGGCTTAATCCTTCTTATATGGTCCGTCGTATGCTATCTCGCATGCAGCCACGATACTAGACTTTTTCGTTAAGTTCCCCGACGCCCATGCATACGCACCTTTTTTTTTTTTTTCTCACGCTCGCCCATGCCATCGGGATTGGACCCCCTATTGACCCCCGGGTCGTAATTCCCGAGCTCCTGTAGCTCCTGTAGCTCTGTGGCACGCGGCCGTCGTCCGAGACGAAAGCTGAGATGTACATATAGAAAGACCGTACCTACCATCCGATTATGGCGCCGCCCTGAATGGTCAGCCGCACTTGTGTAAATATCTTATGAGCGGTCGACTCCCACGTACCTGAAAATTTTCTGCTGTTCAACCCCGTCTGACAGCACTACCTACCACTCGTTAGCTTCCTACATTCGCTCATGAATACGCTCGCTTGAGAGTTCTCTTCCAGGATGTATTCGCGCGTCCAAGTGTTCTTCTTCCTCGCAGGTCAGCTGGGGACTGGCCTCGCCTTCGCGGTGCCTCCGTCGCTAAGCCAGCGCGATGTCTCGCCCGACATGACTTGCGGGAACACGGGGGCCGGGACAAAGGGTTACACATGTTCTGACAACCTGTGCTGCTCCCAGTACGGCTACTGCGGCAACAGTACGAATTACTGCGACACTGGCTGTCAGGGACAATTCGGCCTGTGTAGCGGGTCCGGCGGCGATGGAAACGGATCTGGAGATGATGGTGACGGAGGGGTTTCACCGGATCTGACGTGCGGCAACACGGGAGCCGGAGAGCATGGCTATATCTGCCCGACTGGCATGTGCTGCTCTCAGTAGTGAGTAATTCAGGACGAGCTTCTTCTTGGACTCCGTACTGACACCTATGCCTAGTGGGTACTGCGGTAACTCGACTGATTACTGTGATGCCGGATGTCAATCTGCATTTGGAACGTGTTCGTCGGGCGGTGGCGGGAACGGTGGAAGTTCCAGTGATGGGCGCTGCGGGCCCGATTTCGACGATCAAGTGTGCGGTGCGACGGAATGTTGTTCTATTTCCGGGTAAGTTAGTTCATCCCGTCTCTCCAAGATATTTGTTGCTTATGTATCACTGGTAGATATTGCGGTACTACTTCAGACTACTGCAATGCTCCGGACTGCCTCTTCGATTACGGACCGGCTTGTGACGCAAATAAAATTCCCAGCGGCACTAACACGTCGACGTTATCCCGATCTCCCCTCGGAAGTGTGGCGGTCGGCGGCGTAGGTATCTACGACTGTCAGAATGACGGTGATGTGGCTCTGACTTTCGACGATGGACCTGGCCAGTACACGTCTGCGCTCTTGGATCTCCTGGCGCAGTATAGCGCCAAAGCGACCTTCTTTATCACCGGCATTAACAACGGCAAGGGTGAGATCGATAATACAAGTCTCCAATGGCCGTCCATAATCAAGTGAGAACTACCCACAATGCCAGCCAGCGAACTTGACTCCTAACATATTTTCTGCCCAGGCGCATGTACACCGATAACCACCAGATCGCATCTCACACGTGGTCGCACGCCGACCTCAGCACCCTCACATCAGCGCGGCGGCAGGACGAGATGATCAAGAACGAGATGGCGTTCCGCAACATCCTCGGCTTCATCCCGACGTACATGCGGCCGCCGTACAGTTCGTGCACGAAAGCCAGCGGGTGCGAGGACGACATGGCCGCGCTGCGGTACCACGTCATATACTTCGACCTCGACACCGCGGACTACCTCAACGACTCGCCGGACTTGATTCAGAACTCCAAGAATAACTTCGACCAGTTTTTCGTGGGCTTGTCTCCCGACTCGGACGACGCCCTGGTCATCGCGCATGATATCCACGAGCAGACTGTGCATAACTTGACCGAGTACATGCTCAAGGGCATTCAGAGCCGAGGTTACAAGGCTGTGACTGTGGGCGATTGTCTTGGGGATCCTGTCCAAAACTGGTATAGGCAACTTTAGGAGGTGATAGTTCTCTAGGCCTCGCCTCTGGGTTTGTATATTGTTTTGGAACAGAGGCCTAGATATGGATCTTGGATATTATTCTCCCTATAATATTAAAGTTAATTATATGTGTCAATACGTTTTAGTAGAAATATTTAGCCAGAACATCTCCATAGCTGTTAATAGGAGGAGCGTGATAAGAACTCTTCAACCTTGATATGATAGACCTTTGACTCGTGTCGAAGAAGAGATATGCCGTAAAGGCGACTTTTTCTATACTCTAATATTTAGAAAAGACACATAAAGACAGTAGTAAGTTTTTGAGTCTTGATGGAATACTCGGCAGGATAGTATCTATCGAGGAATGTCTCGTCGCTAGGGGGATGGCTGTCGATGAACTTCAAAGCTAGGATCGAGAGTTTTGAGCTTGTGTACCTAAATCATTGAGAGATGGGAGAAGAAATATTGCAAGCGCCCGTGGACTATTTAACTTTGACTTGGGCTCGCAGTTTGCAAGCAAACTCCTTACATGAGGGCTGTGGGTGGCACTGGCTTCCACCAATCAACGCTTCGGACCGCACTTTATTGTATCCAGGAGTAGCTAATAATTTAAATTTATGAATATAGTTTACCAAAGCGTATTAACAACTTGGAGGAGACATGCTCTTGGTGGTCAAAGTGTAATCTACCTCTTACATTTGACGTTGGCGATGTGCATAGGCCACGTGCCCACGCCTCACCACATGCATTTAGGCTATATGATTAGGAGAGAGGAGAGGCTGGCCTATAGGAAGAAAATAAACATAGATGGCACGTCCCGTTGTAATTCACACCTAAGCATAACTTACCTGCCGAAAATAGACAACGTTGTATGGATACCTAGCTCGTGATAGCTAGAGTTGTACGATGACTCGGTTAATATGGTACACTTCAATACAAAAGTCTCGCTCTCTTTGCTGAGACTGTAGGTTGTACATATAGACAGAGTGCGTAGGACTCGCTCGAAGAAGGATGATTCTATGACTCTTTGCCCTTCTTGTCTCTCCGCTTGCCCATGTTCCGTACGCGAGGAACCACAACCCATTTGTTGGGGTTGTTCTTTCTGCGTGTCTTGTAACCACCTTTCGACTAAGAGGATGAGTTAGTAGTTGAGCGTTAGGTTCGTCTTCAAAGGATGAGGTGAGCCATACCGGTGTACCCCAAGGACTTGTCGGGTGTCGGTTACCCTTGGATTTACCACGACCACCACCGTGAGGGTGATCCACTAGAAGCCAACAATTAATATCATATCTGACATGAACCCGGATCGCGTATCTACCATACCTTTGTTCATTGCCACACCACGTACTGTTGGTCTAATGTTCAACCATCGGCTTCTACCAGCCTTACCAAGCTGTCGGTAATGGTGGTGAGGGTTACTCGACACGCCTATAGTAGCACAGGCATCCTTGCTGACTCTCCGGACCTCTCCGCTCTGTAGCCTAACATTGACATATTTGCCCGTCATGACCCTGACTCCGTCATCCCTTACCTCTTCTTCCTTACTTTCAACGACAGCAAAGGTCCCCGCACTTCGGCAGAAGACAGCACCCCCCTTTGGGTGAGAACCGACGTTGTATACCGGAGTTCCAACGGGGATAAGGTGTAATGGCAAGCAATTCCCACGATGTGCCGTCTTAGCAGCCAGAATACCCGGATCGATGACTCCGCCCATACTTTCGAGAAGGTCCTGAGGGATACCAGACCGATAACTTTGCACTACGTCTCCGGCCCTCATGCCCTCGGCCGCTACGATATACGTTTTCTGGCCGGTAGCTTCCTCGGTCAGTAGCGCAATATGCGCGCTACGGTTCGGATCGTACTCGATTCGTTCGACAAGGTGGGGACCGGAAAGCCAGCGGTGGAAATCCACCGTCCTTATCCTCCGCTTGTGACCACCACCACGATGCCGAACTGTAATTTTGCCATTGTTGTTACGGCCACCCTTCCCCATACCCTTCTTGGGGAAGGTCAATGGAAGGAAGGGCCTGCCTTTCCATAAGTGATCGTTGATGGGTCGCTTAAGATGTCGCACACCGGGTGTCCTAGGTTTGTATGTACGTAGGATTAATGTCGATTCTCTTTCGGACTTGAGTCCGGACGGCGCGTGCTGCCTCGCAGGTTTAGGGGGGGCTTCGTCATCCTTAGGAACCCTGGGCACATAGCCAGCATTGGGGTTGGGGGGGCGCGCAGCCTTGCGAATTGTCGCATAGCCTCGGAGGGGCAGACTTAAAGAGCATTGGCAGTTAGCCAGCACCCTCCGGGCTGAGACGGACAATATCCGCGGCTGTAGCATTATATCATCTCACAGCTAACGGTGACATATATGTCGACTGAGGCGCACTCGACGGAGGAAGGCTGGGCCGGCCTTGGAGGTTGGGAACTAAAATCCAGAAATTGAAGCTATTCTGGAATTCAAATTCTTCCGAGGTCAAGGGTAGAGGCTTGGCATTGTAGCTTAATTGAAGATTTCGTTGATCAGCCGAGTTTTTGCCAGTGTTGAGGCTGAGAAGTTGATGATTATGTAAGGTGAATGAGGCTAAATTTTTTGTGGTTTAATGGTTTAATGATTCAGGATATGAAAATCAGTAGATTCAGCCACATCTTGCTGTGAGTTGTAAGGTACGGATGAAGTATGAACCCTTGCAAACACGGGATCACGTCAGTGGATTGGTCAAGAAGAAGTGAATCCTCCGGGCCGGCGAAGTTTGGCCAATGAAAAGGCCGTTGCCCCTCCGTTGCTTCTGTTGATTCAAGTGGGCTTGTGGGGTCAGTCACGTATCCAGGGAAAAAAGAAGCAGGGTGCGGGTCCGTAACAACCGTCGTCTGGTGGCAGACCCACTATTCTATTACTATGTACTGTTGTACCGTGTGGGATCCTTAGATCGCGTCTTGCAGTGATGGAGCTACCTACAGCAATTCTTTAAACCAGTACCAACCTCTCTCCTTCAAGACTCTACTTAACCTACTCACTTTACTTACCATCTTCCATTCTCAAAACACGCAATTGAGAGGACCACTCTGAACCATATTACCTCCCTTAAGTACCGTTTTTGAATCTTCGTTCACTAGTTTCACTTCAAGAGCAATAGCCTCTCCAATATCCAACATAGTCTAATCGGCATTTGACTTTTGGTGGCTTGAGCGAGATTGCGCGCGTGTACACGAGAGATTCTCAGTTACTTGGTACTCCCTACGCTACGGAAGTATCAAGAACTATCAAGGCCCTAAGAAACAACAGCCTGAACAGGGGTATTCTGCCCTAGAAGCTGCCTTGAGAGCCCCCCAAATTCGCGCTAGGGTACCGTGTATCTGCTACGTGCAATAAATTAGGTACGTGCAAACACATCCCTCACGTCAAAGTTACGGGTACCTCCACCACCACGCTTTTACTCTCGAAACCCACCCAAAAGCCAAACATTGGCCGCACTCTTCAAAAACATCACTGTTCCCTCTACTCATCAACAACATTCAATCATCCACCTTACAACCTTACATACCTTCTCACGAACCCAATTACCTCTTCTTCTTTTCTCTTCCTATCCCTCATTACTCCACCACCTTATTCTCCAATCACGCCGCCTACGAACGTTTTCTACTAGCATCGCGTCTTGTCTTTAAGGTTCATTGCCTATTTTTGCATTTGCACTATTCAGCGCTTGATCTCTAAAGCTTGTTAGCTTGTTGACATACACCCTCACCCTGACCTTTTCAACAATCAATTTATATGTATGATATGTTTTTTTTTTACTCTTGTCCAAAGTTGGGGCTTTGCTTGTTGTCCTGCCAATACATAATCGCATAGTCATCACAGGTGACATTACGCGTATATAAGGCGGTAGCTTCGCAGCATCCCCTACATATATACCCACCCTGCATATATGCACTGCACGTTCGTTCAAGCTTTGGCTAACCTATTTTTTCAGACCTCCAATCTAATTGTGGTTTCTAAATCAAGCGAATTCATCCACCTACAAGATGCCTCCGGTAAGTCTGTTTATTTCACCGACCCCTTCGCCGATCACGACTTTTATCCAAACTTGGCGCTACATCGCGTTATTCAACACAATCTAACCTAACTTCTCTAGGGACGCACTGTCAGACAGCGAGTCGTTACCAATGAGAATGACGAAAATGCAACTGGAAATGCTACGCGTATGACGCGTGCAAAGGCTGCAGCCCTTGATCTCGACGTCACATCACAGCCGGCCAAGCAGGCCCTTCAGTCCAAGAAGTCCGCGGTCAACGCGAATCCTACTGCTCAAAGAAAGCGCGCCGCCCTCGGTGATGTCAGCAACGTTGGAAAAGGGGAGGCCGCAGAAGGCAAGAAAGCTGCTAGCAAAGTCGGTCTAGTCTCCAAGGCCGCACAACCTACAGGAATCCAGAAGACCACTGCCCGTGCCACTTCGACTCGGTCTGCTTTGGCCGCCAAGGAGGCGAAAAAGCCCGAGGTGAAGCGAGCAGGATCCGGTTCCGGTGCACTCGGTACAACCCACAAGAGAAAAGTCACGTCGACAACAATCAAGCAAGATGTCCTCTTAGAAGAGCCGGTTCGCAAGAAGGCTAACACTGTGAGCAACGAACCCGCGAAGCTCGAACTCCCTGAATCCAAGCCATCCAAGTCGGATATCGCAGCCGAGAAGGCCGCTCAGAAAGAAGATGCTTCCTCCAAGGAGGAAGTTGGCTTTGTGCTCCCTGAAGGTGTCAAGGATCTAGAAGAAGAAGGTCTAGATGACCCCGTGATGGTGGCTGAATACGCCCATGAGATCTTCGAATACCTCAAAGACCTCGAAAGCAAATCGGTACCTAATCCTGATTACATAAGACACCAGGACGAGCTGGAGTGGAAGACGCGAAGTATCCTTGTCGACTGGATGATCGAAGTTCATACCCGATTTCATCTCCTTCCTGAGACTCTCTTCCTTGCTATTAACATTATCGATCGATTTTTGTCTCAGAAGGTTGTCCAATTGGACCGCGTCCAACTTGTCGGTATTACAGCCATGTTTATTGCAGCCAAGTACGAGGAGGTGTTATCGCCTCATGTCAGCAACTATAGAATGGTATCCGATGACGGTTTCAGTGATGCCGAGATCCTTAGTGCAGAGCGGTTTATCTTAGAGACATTGAACTACGACTTAAGTTATCCGAATCCCATGAACTTTCTCCGACGGATCTCAAAGGCAGATGACTACGATATTCAATGTCGAACTATTGGAAAGTTCTTAATGGAGATCAGCGTTGTCGACTACCGATTCCTGGCATACCGACCTAGCCATGTTGCTGCTGGTGCCATGTATCTTGCTCGAATGATACTCGACCGTGGTGAATGGGTAAGTATTTATGCTGTAGCAATTTATATTCATGCCATCTTCTAACTCCTATTAGGACCCTACCATCGCCTACTATGCCGGATACACGGAAGAAGAGATAGAACCCGTGTTTGAGCTTATGGTCGATTATCTAGCTCGTCCTATCTGCCACGAGGCCTTCTACAAGAAGTATGCTAGCAAGAAGTTTATGAAAGGTATGTGATTCTGTATGGCTACGTTTATTTACTTTACTAACGGCCCGTAGCTTCGTTGATTACGCGCCAATGGGCTAGGAAGAACGCACCTATTTTTGGTATCACGGACACAAAAATATCTGTTGACGACCTCTCGTCGCTGGAGCCGGATTATTAATACATACCATTCAATTGCACTATGATATTCCTACGTTAAGAGCCTTACTGAGTGTCAGGATACTCAGGGTCTCGTTGGATGATGGCCTTACGATACCAGCTTGCATGACGTTTGGCCGATGACTCTCATAATCTTGATTGCGGATCTTACCTCTTGAGCTGATGGACGTTTTTGATCCGGGCGTCTAATTTCCATACCCATGAACACATTGACTTCCAGATGCTGCCTGGAAGTCTTTTCATTATACCAAGCCCCCCCGGTTATGGTAGCTTGCAGCTACGTTGACACATTTGTCTCATATTTCCCCAGTTGTGTGCTAGGCACACCACATCGTGGTAAAAGGTCTCGGAGGGTCCAGAGCTGGTGGCGTTTTGCCTGTTTACGAAATTTCCGGTCACTACCGCTGGCTTGGCGGCTATCGTAATGCTCAGCTCGGGTTTCGCGAGCTTGGTTCTATCTCTATCAACAGAGCCTCGCCAGCTCAGCCTGCTACTCTTCTCCGAGAAGGTTTGGTAGACGGTCATCTGGAGCTGGCTGTCGATAGGCGGTTCGGAGGGAGCTTCACAAGTTGTACATATTATACTGTTAAGCGGTTCGGATTAGACCAGGGGCAAGGGCTGGGGGGGCTGGCAGTAAGATTTGCGTTGCATTAATCAAGGTTTTTCATTAACGTTAAGACTAATTCTTGTTTTTCATGAGACTGCTTGTGATGCTTGATGCTTTTGTCTATTCTCAAGTGAGAATCCTTGATATGATTATAATGTTTACTGATGATACCTCAGTTGTAAATTTAGATGTTTGTTTGATTTTACTATTACCAATTCGAGGATAGGGGACCGGTAGATTGGGACGAACTGGTTGAAATCATTGTTCTACTTTATATTTACCTATACCACCTCTACTAATAAAATCAGCGGTGCTGTAATTAAAAGGTACTATCTTAGGTATTCAACTAGGTTACCTGTTCAGGTCTTCCGCTTCTTACTTCTAAACACCTTAGCCAACAGCCCCTTTACACCCACGGGGCCCCATTCCTCGTCCCAATGGGCGAGATATGCCCTACGCTCCTCAAGAGCCTGCTTTCGAGCAATTGCTCGCGCTTCTGCCTCTCGGGTCGCGGCGTTGCGTTCGCTCGTCATGCGGAGAAGACTACTCGTCGAGGGCGGCGCGCCGGTGCCGCCGGCGAGTAGCCAGAAGGTTAGCGGAAGGGGCTTGTCTAGCTCGGAGTCCTGAGGTGAGAGTCCAGGGCTTCGTACTTTGGGAGTTGGGGGCGTGGCTGTGGCCGGGTGTGGTGAAATTTCCGGGCTGGTGGTCTCGGGAGAGACGGTTGGGGGTTGGATATTGTTAGGTGGGGGAGTCTCGGATATATTGCTTTCGAGGTTGTTGGGGTTGGGACTTGCGTTCTCTGGTTCTATGTTACCGGGCTCGGGGGCTATGTTAGTAGTGTTGGTGTTGTCTTGGGCCTCAGTAGTGTCGTTGGTATTGATATCGGGGCAGGGTATAGCGTCGTTGTTGGTATTCGAGTTGATGTCGTCGCTAGGATTAGATTCGGCTGTCACAGACATCGTGATGGGTCTAGTATGAGTTGGTCTTTGTGATGTCTCGTAGCTACGGTGTCTTCGTGTAAATAGTTTTATTTATAAACATAAACTTAGGAGAATTGGACTTACCAGAACTAAAGATCTACGTGATAGTTGTAAGATTAGTTCACGCTTCACGATATAAGGGTATAGCAAGAGAAGGTCAGTACCAAAAAAAAGGGGGGGCAAGTCTTATGAGAAGACTCTTATATATGCCATTAAGATGTTTGGGATTCATGTACTACTATCTCATGACTACCATCTGAAAATAAGGGTGATACTTTATTTTCATAGTTACTCATCTTATAGGCTTTACAACATCAGATGCCTCCAGGTTAAATATATCTTATATATCTTATATATCTTATATATCTTATATATGTGATCATCTATCCAATTAAAGATTCCCAGGTTCTGACTCTTTCCCTGTGTAACGTAATGCCAATTATAGAAATAATACAATGAGATCAACAGAAACATATGAGCCGCCACATTTACTAAGCTATAACGGGCCATGAGTGTTAAGTTGGCAATTCAGCAAACAATGTCACTTTCAGGGGTTGTCCATGTCACGTGACCAAATAGTCTACAGCACATTAGTTACCAAAGATCAACATGGAGAGTTTGTGTATGATGCCATGTATGTGATGCCGTAGGTAGTGGCATTCTCACATACAGAGGGCACATATATTATTAGCAACCTAGTGAAGTCTCGTCATTAGACCCTTAGCCCCTTTGGCTGTACGTCCGTTGCTCATCTCCCCCAATGACGATCATAGACTCCCTATAGCTGCCAACAATCCCAACAGTAGTGTCCAACCGGATAGGTGCCAAGACATCCCATCCACATGGCGTAGGTCTGCCAATAGTCGGTGTTGGGGGTCTGCAATTACTGCTTGTCTTACTGGGTTTTCAGACAAAAAACTCCCAAAGCCAAGTAGCTAAGGTGGGTTCCTCTTCCCATTGGTATTTCGTGAAATACTCACTGTCCGAGTCTACCCCGAGTCTTTTGGCACGCTTTGCAGAGCGTCCACTCGAAGCCGACATGTTTCCGAAAGGCTCCCATTCATCCATCTCAGGGGTTAGCCTAGTGCTTGGCCGGTCTCCTCCATCATTGTCCGTGAATGCGTCGAGGGCCTTGTCTTGCTCCTCCAATGTGCTAGCCGTTCTTTTGCTAGAACATGGCGTTGGGCTTGCGGAGCGAAAGCCTGGAGGTGATGCAGAGCCAGACGCGGTAGACTGACTAGCTGGACGGTCGGCCATCTTGTAGAATTCAGCGGCGAGAAACCGCCGTACCGGATCATTGTCTACGCAGCGTATACGTTGCGGGCGATTGCCATGGCTAACGAAGTCATCCTCCTCCTCGTCATTATCTTCTCCTTTGCGACGAGAAGACCGCCGAGTGGGCGTGCCCCATGCCGAGATGCGGTGATCTGGTGGATCCCACGTCACGTAGATGTTTTCCATGAGGTCTTGTATCTTCATGGCATCTCTAGCGGCAGCGGAGCTCTTGTGATTCGAAGTTGGTGAATCGAATGGCGACGGGGAGCAGGGTCTTGGAGGCCGGAGCCGACGTCCACCATTGAGCTCATGCGCAATTGCAGAAGTAAGGCCTCGTTGTTGACCTGCGCGAGCCGGGAGAGTATCCAGCTCGGAGTCCGAGGAGGGACCCGAAGAAGGAGTCCTACGTGCGGAGAACATGATGGTAAATGTTGTAGCACGCTAGAGGTTGATAGAGATGAGTTGATGTTGGTGTTTGATGACTGATCTGCTTAAGTGGTAAGACAGATGAGGCAAAGATGAAGACTGAGAAGGTGATGGTGTTGTAGAAGAAAAATTCAAGAGAAACTTCACCGGGGGGGAGGCTAGATATTTATATAAAACTAGGAGGTCTGTACAAGGAGAGGTACAAACCATATGTGACGTACCAGCGAGTATATACAACAGGTACCAACATAGCAAGGAGGTCGGGCAGTTTATAAAGTATAGTTGCAAACTCGTTGCAATAAGCTTAAGTGGTCCGTTCACAAGAGAGATACAACGATGCATTGGTAATATACGCGGTCTGTCCGTTAGAAAGGCGCAAACATACGTGTAGGGTTGGCAACATCCTAATATCAGGATGTGCCGTACCTGAGTATGTATATTGTATGTACCTTGGTATATACTTATAGTATAGGTGGATGTTACGAAAGACTATACATATGATGTTGGCAACATGTTGCCCTGTTGGTTGTTTGTCTGTCTGTCTGTCTGTCTGTCTGTGCATAGTTAGCACGGATCTATACCGACGATACCTTCGTCTCTCCAACCAATACTTACTCGCTTTGTACCAGGGAACGACCCATAGATAGTAGTCTTCCGAGCATAATCCACGCCGCCTTGTTCCATCTAGTAAACCTCCTGATATCCCCCTTAGTATTTTCCTTGGTACATCCACACACAAGTCATCCCCGGCAGTCCGCCATTATAAGGACACCAATTGTTTGTCTCCAAGTTCGAAAGATCCAAGTCGTGCACTTCTGTAGAGGTTGCGTAGGTAAAGGAAGGGCGCTCCTATAGTCGTTAGTATGTATAACAGAAACTAAGATCTAGATGAGTGACTTGCCCTATTTAGCGCCGTAGCGCAGGTGGACTCGATGATAAGCTTGTAGGTGACGAGCATATATGGTGTCAACTTGTCTGTGACTAGGAACTGGATGACCGGTACCCCCCCTATCGGCTTTGGAGGCTGAAGGATGTCTTTTTGTACGTCTTTTCGAAGAGGTTGTCCTGCGCAAGAGCTGAGCGCCCCTAGGGCTATTGCGCCTACGAGGAGTAGTAGTAGGGATAGAGCCTCTATACTTCAGATTATAGAATTGCCTTGCTAAGGACTTTCGGGCTGCATCCTTCTTTAAGATTTCCTTAGCTGTGTGGTCGGAGGTCGGTTTTGGACGAGACTGTTGTTTTCGACTGCGCCGAGGACAAGGTGATGCTGGTGCTAAAGGACGGAGAAGTGGCGTAATACTATGTAGGTTGGTAGGCGTTATCTTCTGCTGCTGCTGCTGTTTGAGACGCCTCCGGCAAGTAGAATTGCTTTCAGAGTCGGAGGTGGGCAAGTAGAATGGGGATGGCTCTCTAAACTGATTGTTGGAGCTGGGCGTCAGTAGCCCCTTGAAGTAGTGCTTTAGTATGGAACGACTGGTGGGTGACACTGGCTCCAGATTTCCATGGCTAAGTATTCTATTCAAGGTGCTAAGATAGAAGGCACGAAATCGGGGTGTCTGGGTCGGGATGTCAGACGGGCTCTGGGGCTGGGGAGAAGGAGTTCGTGGTGCGCGAGACATGATGATGGATGATTGTAGTATATCGCATGTCAATAAAGTGTAAGTCGGTACGCGATTTGGTGTTTCCCCTGTTGCGAGAAAAAGAGTCGATCGAGATGAAATTTGTTTTAGATGGAAGATATTTGTGGTGAGATGAAGAGACTCACGACAAGAGCATTTCAAGGCGAAATGACAGACATCTCTAGTAGCTCAGAAGGTCTGTGCAAAAAAGGTACAAACTAAATAGAACAGACCAACAATTATACGGCAGGAAGGCGCAAGAAATAACCCCCCAATAAAAAAACACCCTCAGGTAGCAATATACAGGCAAAATATAAAAGGAGAAACCAGCAGGGGTGGTTTGTATACAAGGTAAAACCCCGAGTATGGGATGAGTATTATCTTCCGAGCTGAGGACTAACGAGTACTCGTACTATTACTTGTACTATACTCGAGTAGAGCAGGAGTGAGGTTAGGACCTAGGTTCGTAGTAAAAGTCAATTGGCTTTGTTAGGTCTGTGGTATGAGTCTTGGAGTAGCAATAGGGTTTTGCCAATATCAAAGCCATGCCCGCGATTTGATTTGCACAGTTGAATCTGCATAGTTGATAAGAGGTAGCAATGGCTCTTCTCCCCTTGCTAGATGTCCCTATCTCACATTTGACCTATTTGGTCCCTCTCCCTCGTCATCGTTGCAATCTGTCTCCTCCTATTCGTTTTCGAATGTATCAATCTCGATCATGTTCTTCTCTGCTAGGCAATGTGCACAACTGAAGTCTTCTAGAGATTTCCTTTTGCAATTGTCGCATACAATATAGCCAAACTAGAGATTTTGATGTTGTTGTAGGAGAGGGAGTTCTCGGTGCGAAAGACATGAGCGCGAGAAGCTTTTGTGCGTGTAAATTAAGCGAAGATAATTCTATGTCGGAGCTGATGTGCTAATAACGGAAGTTGAAGAAAATCTGTAACCTAGTAGGATGGATATGAAGATAGCTGCGAGGATGGCTGTGATTGAGAAGTTTGCGAGTTTGTAGAAGAGGGAATTAGAATTTAGATTCGGCAACTATACAACTCACAAGCAATGACCAAGAAAGATATTCACAAGTTTAGAAAATACGGGGCTGAATACGAACGAGTGCGAATAGTTGAAGAAGATGAAATAGGCTACGGTGCGTGGGTTGGGTTAAAAAAAAAGGATCGTGGCCTATGGTAAGAGGAGGGGTGTTTAGTCGTTGGGACCTAACCTGACTTACGGCGGGAAGGTACTTGACAATATACGGCGCTGGCATCCAACGACATGTACGCTATCGTGCATCTCTGGCGTCGCTCGTCGACCACCCCCGTATCTACCCCTCGACCATTCACCAGCCCCGTTCATTGACACAGAACCCCCGAGCTAGTTTCTCCCAGTGAATCAAGTGGCCTCTCTGTCGACGGACCCAGCCGGCATACATGATCCAGCTGATTAGCACGGACACCAGGCTCGCCAATGCCAGCCACCTATACTGCTCCGTACGGGGAAAGGCTATGGCCGCACCGGCGCCGAGGAGCTCGAATATATTTATGATCGAGTTCTCCGTGCCCGCAAAACTTGACCGTTGGTGTCCCGGGACAAGTGTCTGCGTCAATTGCTGGGTAGTAAGGTCGAAGACCCATACACCGAGCCGCGAGAACGCCAGGAACGAGAATAAGACGACGCTCCAACCCGCATTGGGTGGAACATTTTCGTTGATAACCCTCCGGATAATAGCAAATAGGTTTTCTGCCTCGTCTTGCTGTGCCGATATTGCCCATAGAGCTAGAACAACCGGTACCTTTGTAGTTCGTAAGTATTCGTACGTAAGAATTCGGTACAACTAATTGTATGGGACTGATAACGTACGGTATTTATTATTTGCCAACTTATACCCCAGAGCCCAAACCGCTGCAATCCTATCATGGTTTGGATATCCCGGTTTCCCTCCTGATCACTAGCGATCAACCGAACCCCTGACTCGTCATCTTCGTCCATGGGCGACGTCGAAGCGTGGTGATGCGTCTTCCCCATGTAATCGATACCTCGGGGAGTAATAACCGTGCTGCTTATCTCGAATACGGAACCAATAGCCCTGGCAAGTGTAATTATATTAAGCGAGTAACCTATATTGATTAGATAGGTGATGAATGTAGCTCTCCAGGTCAGCATGTTAAAATGTAGAAGTGCTAATGCGACAGACGGGACCCAGACGGAGGTGCTGAAGTACATCTCGAAGCCGTGAAAGTACTGCCGAGTCCTTGATATCCACGATCTTGACGTTTCTTGAGTTGCCGTGCCCGGCTGCGAGGTAGGTATTGCACGTGGTGCTTGTAGCAAGGGGCTGCTATTCCACACTCGCTTCGCAGAGAAGACTTCGATTGGGATGCTAATAAGACTAGTAAGTCCCGTGAATACCACTCCTAACCGAATCGACCCGAGGACTGAGATGACGGTTGAAATTAATATAGGTGAGATTAGTTTGCAGACGAGATCAATCCTCCTCATAACAGCATTTAGGTGAGTAAGGTCATAGGGGTTACCAGCAGGAGCAGCAACGGTGACGACCCAATCTCGCTCTATCGAGATGAGATTGCCGAACGCACTTAAACGCTCGATAATACCGAACGTCACCGCGATGGCGAAGCCCATACCCTTGAGGATAGCGTTTTCAGGTAACACAAAGGTTGCTTGGCGTCCTACCAGATCCTCCTGGCTCAATATCAAGATCCAGAAAAAGGAGCCGAGAATAACTGAGCCGCGATTACAAACGATAGTTGAGAGCAACGTGCGGAGCCTGCTGGGAGACTTCTGGACCCATTGCCCGACCGAGCTGGAGAACAGGATCATGGCAAAGTATACTATGATCATGCTGCAAGCCCGTGTTAACAACAAGCTTAGAATATGTTTAGTTAACATAGGGTAGTCGGGGAGACTTGCCGTAACGCAGCCGCCACAAGGGTATCAGGATATGCGGCTGCCGTGAAGAGGATCTATCGACGTGGTGAGCCGGTATGAACTTGATTCGTTCATCAAACCGCTTCTTCCGGGAGACGTACTGCCGCGAACTCATAACCGCGAGCGTTCCAAGTCGAGAAAGCATGGCTGACATATAGATTCAAGGCTTGTGCTCGGGTGAGGCCGGTCGGAGTGATACCGCCATCTCCGCCGTCACGAGAGCCATCGTCAAGTAGCTCGAAACTACTTTCGCTCTCGGCATCACTTTCCATTTTATACTATTTTGTAAGTTGTAAGTTGTGATAGGGGGTATAATTCGACTTGAATACCCAATGGAAGAAGCGGACCACGACTGCGTAGTATACTGCTAAGTATTATAATAAGCCATGCTCGGTAAAAACAGCTGCTATATATGCTGTGTTTTTGGGTTACAATGAATTGGCCAATCGGTGAGTCAGGCCGACAAGTTGTCGAATGATGTTGTATTATTGGCGAATGCCATAATGTATGTAGGCCTATGATGTTTATTTCCTTATTTCCTTATTTCCTTATTTCTTTATTTCCTTAGCGGGGTTCCGACCGGGATGGCGGCCGGTCGCCGGAGCTTTCTCATTCATGTATTGTGTAACTGCCTATTGACATCATAATTGATTGGTAGACGACTTTGATAGATAAAGTGGTATAAGTCGGAAGAAAATAAAAATAAAACTATCCAAATAATAAAGAATAACCTTAATTTATAAAAGGCCTGTCGTTATTTGACTGTTAGTAGGACTTACATCACAAAGCTCACACATCAAACTACAGCTCACACATCAAACTACTCAAACAAGCAAATCTAATTTAGCAAAAACCAACTTGCTTGTGCAAGCCGTATCTTGTTCATTTCCTCGTTAAGTATCTGGAAAACCTCTCTAAAATTATATCTTATAGAGCGACAGTTGCAAAACTCCCAATAAACTCATCCCGAGGCGCCCAGTAAACCCCATCCCCGACCGACCCCCGTGTGCTCCGCGATTGTGATATCTCTTCAAGTGCTGTGTGCTGTGTGTCGTGTCCCGTAACCATGGGGAAACGTCCTCAGTCAATAAGTCCCGTCCCATCACATCGTGCATGACCTATGCAAGTCATCTGCGAAACTCCTCCAGGGGTCCTTATTTTCAATATAATTAAGCGCGTCTCATCTGGCCGTCAAGGTCTATAGTAAAAGTTTGTTTGAAAGAAACAAGCTTGAATACTGTTCCCTCCGCGTGGAGGCAGCTGTTTGAAGCTCATGTTTAGAAGTGTAAGGATCCCATTCGCTCTTCAACGCCGCCCCAGTAGACGATGGGTCTGGGCTCGAGCATGTTCAACTCGGGCCCAGAGCTGCGCTTCTCTTCTTCTAGGTCGGCAATCGACGGCTGTCTAAATAACACAGCATTGATCGTGCTCACAGGCGATGAAGAGCTCGAGCTGTATGACTGGTATGAGCTTGTTGAGCTAGTGGATGCCGTAGATGAGCGGCGGAAAGATGTGCGAATCCCGTTAGGGGTGAATCGAGATCGGATGGTCTGGAATCGCGAATGCATCTTGACGGTGTTTTGTTCTAGTTTGATAACTGGGATTTGAATAGGTTGAAGCGGGCTCGGGTGTATTCCTTAAGACTTGGCTTGGTGATTAAAAGTGCGTAAAAAAAGAGGCACAGCCTGTGAGTTTGAAAGAATGCAAAGCGAACGAAGGTTTCAAAGCTGGCTTTGGTTGAAAAAAAAAAAGATAGGACGATCTATTCCGGAGAGATTCGTGAATAGAACAAACAAGCAATACTTGTTAGGCGACTGGGTCCTAGGTGAGGAGTGATGGAAGAAACAGACACTACAGAGGAGTCTGGAGGAAGAAGGAACACAGATGAGATACGGCCCGGCGTAGTTTTAAGTAGTAGGAGCGCGGGAGGATCTACACCAAGTCTCCAACCTTAAACTAAGGGTTGTAGGGTTGTAGGGTTGTAGGGTTGTAGGGTTGTGAGGCTGGATATAGGAGGGTGCACGATAGAAAGGAATGCGCATAGTAAGGAGTCGATAAACATCTGATCCACTTTGGTCATGGGTTGGACGGAACAGGGAGATATGACAAGGACATCGTTTGTGATGTGACTTCATTAAAGCATATACATAGATCTCCTGCCCAGGGGTTTGAACATCAAGGTCTAGTTTTACATATTAATGCGACAAGGACTTACGTATTTTTGTGGCTGTACACTTGTACGGATTACAGGAGCAGCATTTACGAGATCTCTCATGCTCATGTAACAGGCGATAGCACAACGCCTACGATCGATGCCAGAAAGGTAACGAACGGCAGGACACGATGAGCTATGATACTAACCTAGCTAGATTTGCAGCCGAGAGAAATATGTTATTTTCACCTATTGCAGTGTGAGTGTATCTAGTGTAAGTGGTGGTGAAACAGATGAGAGTCCTCTTCGTTTCCCATCTTGTTCTAGGCTCGCTTCGTAAAATAACAATGTCGTTGTCTCGTAGCCCTGTCGGAAGCAATGGAGTATCGCACCATCAAGGTAGATGTGGAGTGTGCGCTGCAATCTTTGGGTTTCTTATGTCCGAAACGGGTAAAGACGCCTCTTCTCAGGGGCGTATGATCGTCAGCCGGGATTAGGGGTTTGCTGAAAATCCGAAAACGGGTTGGTCGATGATTCAGGTTGTTTCATGACAGGCATGGCATAGTCAATTTATCAGAGACATCAATCCATCATAGATGCAGAGAAATATGCATATCATGAACTAGCTTGACCGAACGAATGGGTTTCCTATAGTGGTGGATTTGAGACAGAAAAGTTCTGGAATCCTGAAGACGATAAACCTACAACATTGGATTTAAAAGCTTGCCAACTTAACCTAAGAGATTGTTGTGGTGTAAATAAGATGATACACGCATGGATAGTAAGTGATATGACCTACACTATGTAATAAGAGTCATACATACTGCTATAAGTATGGATGAGCTGCATCAGAATACGACGGATGAGAGAATCAAGAATGGTGTTCCAGTATTGAACATGTTCCAGGTCGTTGAGATTGGCAGGGGGAAAGACGCGGTATGCAGTTACACACGGACGTCTGCATGTGGCACAGTGGTAATTTAGGTACATACCTACCTAGGTACATACATGAGCATTACATGAACATTACTTCAAGCTTATCGCGCTTGGCATTTAAGCGGCCGAAGAGATTCAATGCTGTGGCTTGACTTACAATCTTACAGTCTTACAATCTTACAGTCTTACAAGCTTACAGTCTTACAAACTTACACTCATTAATAACATGTGCCTCTATATAAGGTCGCCATAAAAAGTTTATAAGCCAACTAAATAATTTCCATAATCCATTACCCGTTGATACCATTATCCAAGTTCGTATAGTATAACTATAGTATTGAAGCATCTAGGTTGGCCAACAAGACTCATAGCCCGGCTCTACCGAAGATTCGCTATCACCCGGGGTGGCAAGCATTACCAATGAACTCTACTCTTGGCACCGCCGCACCATCGGTTCGGAGGCCATCGTTCAGGAACCCAAGTCTAACCGGACATAGACTTTTATCCCCACTTACATGCCTATGTATGCAGTATGTATGCAGTATGTAAGAGCTTGCCCACGTTCCAGATGTTGCCTTCGAAGGAGAAACAGTCCTTGCCCGAGGTTCGGTAAAAAAAAAAAAAATATCAACTATGGCAAAGCAGAAAACCTATCACCCAAACAAGCCTTGCCTTCAAGTTGGATGCTTTATTTCTCTAGCTTTATTCTAGATCTTAGAACTCTAACAAATACAAGTGTAGTCAAACACATACAATATGATAATGGTATCTCCACCTGTACAATGCATCCGGGACATCTGGGATCCAACCAACCGATGGACAAATACATATAGTGTAAAACAAAGATCCGCCGATTCACGGCATAGACGAATAATTTCGCCCAATGTAAACCCCGCTAAAGTGCCTAGAACGCCTGTTGACCTCATCCAAGTCATTCCTGCTTCGTTTTGAGCCTCTTTATATGCCGCTTTAACCTACCCCGAATCTCGACGTATGAAAATGCATTCCGAGATCTGCGGGGAAGCTTGACCCGCCGCTATGCCTCTCCTCTGATGTATGCTATCTCGTAATGTGGTGAAAGTTGTTATCGTATAGATGAGCCGTCTTACCGACCGCTCCGATCGGAACGCCGTACTGACCTGCGTATTGTCGCGCTCCGCCTGATGCTTTCGACCCAAGCGGAATCGTCAAGCAACTCTCTGACTTGGGCCGGGCTCACTGAACTACCCCGTCTGCTATTCTCGCCTGAATTCGTCCCCGGGTCTTGCAATTCAAAGCTTAAAGCAGACGCGTGGGAACGATGTCCCGGCATCGACGGGCTTGCCCGTGGTAAGCTCAAGGGATGCGTCTGCGAAGAGTCGTATGTTGATATATCGGTGCCGGAACTCCAGCTCTTGTGCTGCGGCCGGGATGCGTCAGATACAGTAAGGAAATCGGATATGCCGCTGGCGACTGGAGCTGCCATTGTAGTGCGTTGCATCGCTGTCCGTTTACGGTCGTCCTCATCGTCGACGAAGATGTCGGGCACGTCCAATTGAGGGATCGCTGTCATTCGTGCAGATCGCTTCTTCTCCATGTGTTTCTTGAATTGGCGAGACCAGTAGCTAGCATATGCGTTAGTGAAATGGGATGCCTAGCATCTTGGTAGAAAACTTACACCGTGTCAAAGAAACCGACGACAATTCTTCGACGAACTTCTTCCTCAACTCGTTGAAGGCGTGCACGACGACGCAAGAATTCCTCGAGTCTGAGATATTGTCAGTTCTGAGCTAGTCAAGTCCTGATAGGGGGGGATTTGTTACCTTAAGCTCTTGCTGTCACTAATGATCTTATAATGCGCCATTATCATGAGTACTGTCGTGAAAGATATTCCTTGGGCAGGATCCGCAGAAACCATCACCTCCTCGTAAAAGATGTTGAAACGGCGGCGCCTTTCTTGTACTTTCCGAACGTCGATCTTAGCGAGCCTCTCGTTCAACCTCTTAATATTTATACCGCTACTGACGTTACTTGTAGTAGCGATTGACGAATGCCTCGTATGTGTCTTATCGTTCCGAACGTCCTCTAAGATCTGATGAACCGAATCCTCTGAATCGTAGATCCGCATTTCAAAGATGCCAGAGAGCTCGCCTAATAACCTTGGAAATGCTTCCTTACTGATGAAGCCTGAACCAGCAGGGTCAACACTGCGCCACGCCTCCTTAAACCTCCGTATCTCATCTCGATCAATATGTGCCATGCCGCTCGAACGCTGATACACATAACTGAAACTTTCGTATATGAGCGAGATGAAGAGGTTGACAAAAATATACATGCTGACGAGGTTCCAGGCGATGAATAGACATCTGGCCCAATTGGTGCTACCGCAATCGCTATCAAGGAATTCGCCACTGTTCACGCAGAGCGGAGGCTCGATATTTGCATAGTCTTCCATGATCTGGTTCCAACCTTCACCCACGCTCATGCGAAAGAGTAGAAGAAGAGCGTTGGGGACTGTCCTAAAATTGATGTTGACGTCCTCGTTCTCCCCAAAGCGAGTTAGACTGAAGGTTTGTGTCAATGCTATTGCAAACACCAAGAAGAATACTAGCCAGGTAGCAAGTAGATTGAAGATGGTTGTGAGACTTGCTGCCGCTGTCTTGAAGAGCTGATCGAGTGCGTCGTTTCTAGGGATGAGAAGGAGGACGACGCTGACGAGGAAGTATTTGTGAATCTGAGTGAAGGTTTGATTGTTATATTCGGTACTTAGTAGCGCGGAGGTTACAAAAGCACCGAATACAGAGACCAGCGAGTAGACGTCCCAAGTGCTCCTCCTAAACCGCTTCCAGCCGAGGCCGACAATGCGGATCGCGATATTAGCGATGTAGATTAGTGTGAAGAGTAGGAATATGATATCCCTCGCAATAGCCCACTGCTCTGGTTCGGGGTAATATTCCAACATCAACAAGATCAAGTGAAGGACTAATATCGCGGTAATCGCAGTATACCACTTGCCTCGCTTCTCGATTGCTCGCTTGTGACACCATTTTTTCCATTTCTTCTCGGAGTCGTTGTAAGAGCTTCTTGACGGCGAGATCTGACGTAGAAGTTTCCGTAGTTCGAGCCATGATCTCTGCTCGGCCGTTAAGAAGGCGACGCCGGTCTGCTCAGTGTAATTTCGCATGAAGACGGAAATGAACAGAGTCAACACGAAGACTGTACCAAGAAGATTGAAAACCACGAAGAACATCCCATAACCCTGCGCTGCCATTGGCTGTGGTTGAAGGTCACGACCGGTAATTGCCTGTGTAGCGAATGATACGTCGACCCAACCCTCTTGCGAGACAATCTGAAAGAGAATAAATAGCGAAGAGGCGAAGTCGTCGAATTTGAAATAGGGATTGTCTGCAACACGAGGTGCGAGTATTGGCCAGTCTGGGTTAGACGGCGTGCTTGCAAATTCACCGAAGCAGTCAGCTAGGTGAGTAATGTCATTGTTGTCATTACACTCCAACAATTGTCCATTGAACAAATTCAAGGCATATATGGCGAATGGGATTAGTAGAGACAAGGAGACCAGCGCAGCCTAGAATGTTAAGTCAGCATGGCCCTTTAGGGTATCAATAGTCCGGAATTTGACCTACACTAATAATCTTCCATCCGGCCACTA